TTTTCCAGGTGTGTCCTTTCAGGGTTGTGGTCTCCACTGATTGGTTGTGGGCACCAGGGCAGGGTCATTATTCAATGTAGCTGGTCCTGAGGTCAGCCATCGGGGTCACCGGCTTGGTTTTGCTGCTTTTCTGGACCTGGAGCTTCCCATTCTGATTGGCAAAGTCAGGGTGTGCGGTGCAGCTGTATGCTGGCGCCAGTTGCCAGTCATCCTTCGGCAGCGGTTGGCTTTCACTGTGCTGCACCATCTCAGGGCCTCGGGCCTCCTTGTCAGAGCCCCCACTCGCCTCACTCCCCATCCTGAGGAATAGCCACTGCCTGAGTCTGGCCTGTGGCTGTGGACCACCTCTGCAGCTGAAGGAGGGTGTGTCTGTGCACCTCATGCCATGAAGGTCTGCATGGAGATGGCCTGCAAGCCCAAGAAGGAACTCATAAAGTACCAGCATCAGAAAGGGCCACATCTTAATAAGGTTTCCGGTTTTTTATTTTATAGTCCATCAAGAAACATAAAGTAGCCCTAACTGGTTTGGCTCAGTGGATAGAGCATAAGCCTGTGGACTGAAGGGTCCCAGGTTTGATTCCAGTCAAGGGCATGTACCTTGGTTGGGCACATCCCCAGTGGGGGAAGGAGAGGAGGGTGCAGGAGGCAGTTGATTGATGTTTCTCTCTCATCGATGTTTCCAACTCTCTATCCTTCTCCCTTCCTCTCTGTAAAAAAATCAATAAAATATATTTTTTTAAAAAGAAAAAGAAAGTAGAAGACCCAAAACGATTTTTTGAAGTGTTCAAATACATATGCATGAGAAAAATGTCCTAGTGAATCATTTCCATTTGAGAGTTCTGACTGAAGTTTGCCCAGGATGAGGCCTAAATGTGAGAGGACTGGCTGAGGGGAGTGGGCAGGTAATTGGCCTATCTCATATCAAGCCCTCTATACTTTCTATGACTGAACTAGTGGTTGTAAAGACATTTTTCTGGGACTGATTAAACCTCACGTTGGGAGAGCAGTGGGTTTGGAAAGCATGCATTTCGAGTCGTCTTCCCAGAGTACACGATCGCCCTCTAGGCTGCATTTCCGAGCTGGGTTTTGCAGTCCTGGCCACCTCGCCACCAGGGAGTAAGAGGGAAAGGGGCCGGATTCCTCCCCGGTGGGAGGAATTTCTGGACCAAAGAAAGAAGCTGGCGACGGGAAGGAAGAAACTGATCAAGCGCTTCAATAGCGGCCACGGGGCAGCCGAAAGCCTGCGCCGTTCGCAGGCGCCTCGCAGTTCCCTTGCCGACCGCCCCCCCTGCTCCGCACGCCCGCCGCCCGTGTGTCACCTTCCTGTTCGGAAGTCTTAGTGGGCTGCCCGGACAGAACAGGGGGCGCCTGCTCCACCCGGCAGGTATCCGGTTGGAGGAAAAACCAGTCTCAACAACTCGATTCTCTCCCTTAAAATGATGTTTAGCAGACCATTCGTCTCCAACTGCAGAACATTAGGGTGGGGAGGGGAGAGGAAAGAGACACTTCAGACGTCCCTGGTCCCTGTTCTGTCTCTTCCACAAATCATATGGTGGTGCCTCTTCTCTAGTCCACTGCAGAGTCCTCTCACTTACATTCCACGCTCTTCCTGGAATGCATGCTGGAGCGCCAGGGCGTCTTTGAGAAAATGAGCCCTATGCATATGTTTTGATTTTCTAGACTGATTTGTGATGATAATCAGGCAAGTTATATTTTTTGTGTGTGTGTGTCTTGCTGAGGGTGTAATAAACCCAGGACGCTGAAGACTGTAATTTTCTGAGTGATGTTGCAATGGTAGGGATAAATGGCCCTGTGGTGAACTTTGCAGCTTGCTCCCTTCCTGTATGTAGATTGCCTTTATAAAAAGCGGGGGCTGATAACAGCAGAGACCGGAGCCTCTGGCTCCCCTGTCATCTCCAGCCTCCGGCCTTATCAGGCACATAGCAGGCAGGAGGCTGGCTGCTCCAGCCCTAGCTGAGTGCCAATCTACCTCCAGCCCCCAGAAAGTAGCCTCCAGCCTTCATATCCTAGGCAACCTGAAGAATGAAATAGGAGACTGTAAAATCCCTCTTTGAAAGGTTCGTCTGCTTTTATTACTGTAATCTGGACGGAGTGGATGAAACAAAGATGCTACAGAGGATTTGGAGTTGCTTGGCTTGGGGGAGGCCCAGGAGGTGGTACTTAGGGAAGATCTCTGAAGGAAGGTTTTTATTTTATTTTATTTAATGTTTTTTGTTGTTGTTTTAAGCAAGCCAGCAAAATCTTTGTGCAGGCTGCTGTTTCTAGGCATTCTTTGCAAAATTTGCATCTCAAAGGGGGAAGGGATGGTGTGGGATGGGGCTGGGTTGACCTAGGCTAATTGAAGTGGTACTCGGGGGCAACAAATCCTACTATATGAAGGATGCGTGCAGGATGAAGTAGAAATGGCTCAGTGACTGTGATTTGGCATTTCCTAAACCTGGCTTTAGATTGGAGCATCAATTTTAGGCAATAGTGTTTTTTGTTTTGTTTATTTTTTTTTAAGAGTGGATGCTGGGCCAAATTCCTCAGCCCATCTCCAGGAGAAAGGATGTGTGTTCCCTTCTCCCAGTGCAGGGCTGTGGTCACTGAGCAAACCAAGAAGCAGTTGAGGCCACAGATCATATTAGGGCAAACGAGGTGGTTGTGCTGCCTGCAAAGCGAAGCCCTACCGGAGACCCAAGAAAACCCTCTTCCCATGCTATTCTTGGTTTGACAGTTGGCATTTCGGAGTGTCTGACCTAGCAAAGCAGGCAACTCTGAGATGGCAGGGCCCTTGGCAGCAAGGGGTCACGGCAGGGCAGCCACTGCAGACTGCCCCAGCGAGCACCAGGCAGGTACCGGGCCCTGCAAAAATCTTGGGAACTTTGCAGAGCCGCCTCCTCGCTCCAGGCCAGGTGGCGGCGGTGCTGGCGGCGCCCCAACCGGCTCTGGCGCGACTCCCCGCGCCGGCCGGCGGTCAGACTGCAGGTCCGGGATCTGCCTGCGGCGGGGTTAGGGCAGGCGCGGCGCAGCCGCTGCGCAGAGCTCCCCTCTCTCCCAGGCTCTCTGCAGCCGAGGCTCCCGGCTGGCCTTTCGGGAGCTAACGGTTCCCAGTTTACCTGGGACTCCCGAGGAAGAGCCAGGTGGTGGAACTAAGAAAACCATGCGCCAGCGCTTTAAGTAATCTGGGGGAGAAGAGGACAAACTCGGGGAACTTACGACAATGGAGTGTGACCTTGCTCAGTTTTCAGGGGGGAGAGCCCACGATGCCCCCGCGTGTACCTCCCGCGCCACCCTCGCTGCCCCGGGGTCACGCCAGGCCGGTGCCCTGCGCGGAGCTGCGGCTCCCTAACTCGCCACTTCCACACGTGTCCTGGGCATGGCGGGGATTAAAAATGCAAGGAGGGAAATTACATGCGGAAAGGACAGAATGTTCTCAGAGGTTACTTCTGGCGGGGTGGGGGGTTGGGGGGGGGCGGGGTGAAATGCAGATTGTACTTTTTCCCCCCCTTTCAGTGCAGAGACGAGTTTTATTTCCGCCCCCTCCCCTGCACATTCCTGACCTCTCCCTCCTCCCCGCACTGCCCCCCCCCCCCCACTTCCCCGCTTTCTTTCCTTCCTCCTCGTCCAAGTTTCTGGGATTTTTTTTTTCAGCCTTGCCTGGCTTTGGCCAAAAGCACAAAAAAGGCGTTTTCGGAAGCGGCCCGGCCGTGCAACAAGGGCCGTTTGTTTGTTTTGGGGACGGGGGCAGGAAACCTCGCCGGGCCTGAGTCACGGCGGCTCCTTCAAGGAAACGTCAGTGCCGTCCCGTCTGCGCGCCCGGCCGCCGCCGCCGGCCATGGGGGAGATGCAGGGCGCGCTGGCCCGGGCCCGGCTCGAGTCCCTGCTGCGGCCCCGCCACAAAAAGAGGGCCGAGGCGCAGAAAAGGAGCGAGTCCTTCCTCCTCACCGGCCTGGGTAAGCGCCCACTAGTTAGTGGCTGTAGCTCCGGGGCTGCTGCTGGGGCTGCTGTCGGGGAGGGCTGGAGGGAGGGATCGGGACGGCAGGGGAGACCCGCCGGGCGCCTGGCCCCACGCCGACCCCCAAGATAAGGACGCGCGCGGGGCCGCCCTCCCCCGGCGCGGCCACTGCGCCCGGGAGATAACCCCGCTGCTGGCGCACGGCCGCCGGGAGAGGGCACAGGAGGCTGCCGCGTGGATCTGGGGAGGAGAGAGGGTCGGCGCCTGGGCCGGGGCGAATCCGAAATGAGGGTCTGATGAGCCAGAGCGGGCACAGAGCCACGCGGCGGCCGCGCACCCGGCGGAAAGCGCCTGGGAGCCGCGGCTGAGGTCCCCGCAGGCGGGGTGAGTGCGGGTGGAAAATTACCGCAGGCGCTCCCCCTGCTCCCCGCTCCCCTCCCTCCTCCCTCCCTCCTGCGCCGGCGGCTGCCCTCTCCCGGGCCCTGGAGCGAAAGAGGCAGATAACCTCCCCGCGCCGGGCCCTCCCCCGGCCGCCCCGGCGCCCGGTACCCCCGACCCGGCTCGCCCTCCCGCCAGGGCGGAACCGCTGGCCGCCGGCCGCCTGGCCTCCTGCAGAGCCGCGGGGCCGCCGGGGCGGGGGCGTGGTCAGGGGCGGGGCCTGCGGAGGGACTGCCCCCTGCTGCGCTGGCCCCGCCCCCGCGGGGGGGGGCGCAGTGCTTATAAGAGCGGCGGCTCGGCCGCAGCGAGCTGTCGGTTCTGCCGGTCCCTTCGCTACCGCTTCTCTGCACCGCCTCCTCGGTGTCTCCCGGTCCCCGCTTTGCGGCGATGACAGTGAAAACCGAGGCTGCTAGGAGCGCCCTCACTTACTCCAGGATGAGGGGCATGGTAGCGATTCTGATCGGTGAGTGCCGACATCCCTGAGTTTCTAACCTAGGACGTGCCGCCTAGTGGAAATTTTTTGAAGATCCCGCATCCGATGAGTGCGCGTGGCGTCGGATGTTACCAAGCCGTCTTAAACGTTTATTTCTCTTTTAATTCGCAGCTTTCATGAAACAGAGGAGGATGGGCCTCAACGACTTCATTCAGAAGATTGCCAATAACTCCTATGCATGCAAACAGTAAGTTGGGGGAAATTTGAGGGCACGTAAAAATTAGTATAGCTTCTCAGTTCACCGGCACTAAGACATTCTCAACCCTGTGTGGATCAGGAAGCCTAAGACTTCCCCCTGGGGATGGGGATTCCCCCTTCAAGTTCTAATTTGCTTAGAACGTTTTAAACATTAAAATTAATTTAAAGCTGTAAGATAAAAAAAAAAAATGTTCGTGTTTGCCTAATTCACCTCTGTCTCCGTGAAGAACAATCCTCATCTTTATTTCACTGGGTTTGCTATTTTCTTTGGCTAATTTCTTTAATTGAGTAATTTATTTGGGTGTCTCGTTTAAACACTGAATTCTCCGGGAAAGTTGGAGCCAGAAACTCACTCTCTGTGCTGGTGCGCCACTTAGTGGTGAGTTAGGAGATTCTAAATTGTTTTTTTGTGTGTGTTTTTTTTCTGTAGCCCTGAAGTTCAGTCCATTTTGAAAATCTCCCAACCTCAGGAGCCTGAGCTTATGAATGCCAACCCTTCTCCTCCAGTAAGTATTCTCCCGTTTGTAATGTCTGTGAAGGAATCTTGTAAATGAGTCAGCGTTCCTACATTGATGAATTAAAATGGCATTTCTGGAAATTAGTATTAAGGCAGGAATGCCTCTTTAAGCGTAACAAGTGACATAAGAACACTTAAGAACTGAGTCAGTGGAGTATTTTGAATGGCATATTTCATAAAAGATTTATCTGCTTACAAGAATATTGTGTAATTTCCATACTCTAGTTGAAGGAATTAACATGAATGAAAAGCAGTTGTGAGTGTTTGCCGATGTATGGGGACTTGCTTCGGTCCTTTGTAACATCTTTGATAGTGCCTATGCTTTATTATCAATGCTTTCCTTTGAATCCAAGATATTAAAAGAAAACCTTTTATTTTTCAGCCGAGTCCTTCTCAGCAAATCAACCTTGGTCCATCATCCAATCCTCATGCTAAACCATCTGACTTCCACTTCCTGAAAGTGATTGGAAAGGGCAGTTTTGGAAAGGTAAATTTCAAACCTGACACGCCGTCCCCCCGCCCCCCCTTACCTAGATAGCCGTCCCTGACCTGAGTTTACATTCTCCCTGGATGCAGATGGCAAGATGATTTTTTTAAATTGTCATTTCAGGTTCTTCTGGCGAGACACAAAGCAGAAGAAGCATTCTATGCAGTCAAAGTTTTACAGAAGAAAGCGATCCTGAAAAAGAAGGAGGTACAGATGGGTTGCGGTTGGAGATAGACTTTCATTGAGCAAGTTTCACCCTTGGAATTTGCCACTAAGTCTTGATTGCCCTTTCCCTAGGAGAAGCATATTATGTCGGAGCGGAATGTCCTACTGAAGAATGTGAAGCACCCTTTCCTGGTGGGCCTTCACTTCTCGTTCCAGACTGCTGACAAACTGTACTTCGTCCTCGACTACATCAATGGTGGAGAGGTGAGCGGAGGGGAGATAAGCCAACTTGTCTGTGCAACAATTTTTAGAAGACGCGTAGGGGAGGAAAGTTACCAGAATTAGCATTTCCTTGAACCATCCAGGTCTCAAATAGTTAATAAGTAGACTATTTAGGGCCACTTCCTGCAATTGTTCTTTCCAGCTATATATGTCGAGGCTAATTAACTGCATTGTTATCGGGCTTTGGCAAGCGCAGGCTGACTTTGTTCTGTCTCCCTCCGCAGTTGTTCTACCATCTCCAGAGGGAGCGCTGCTTCCTGGAACCGCGGGCCCGTTTCTATGCTGCTGAAATAGCCAGTGCCTTGGGCTACCTGCACTCGATGAACATCGTTTATAGGTGAGCAGAGGTTCTCTTAAGGCAGCCTTCATGGGGTAATAAAGGAGGCCTAAATAACGTCTTTATGTACAACTTGGTCACCTAAAACCAGCTCTCCCCCAGCATGTGAGCTGTCTTGACTCCAGGCCACCAGGGAATTAGCCAACTAGGATTGGACCTGCTCCAGGATAGATTAGCAGAACAAGGGCTCCCTTTTTTTATTCATGATACAACTGCAGGGACTGTACAATGCCTTAATCCCCCAAACAATTCTCTTTACTGAGGGTTTCTTATAGGTGAAATTAACTTTTCTGTTTGTTTCTTTACAGAGACTTAAAGCCAGAGAATATTCTGCTGGATTCCCAGGGGCACATTGTCCTTACTGACTTTGGGCTCTGCAAAGAGAACATCGAACACAACGGCACGACATCCACCTTCTGTGGCACACCTGAGGTAGGAGCATCCTCCATCTGCTGCCTGGTCTGCCCCCTCCTTCCCAGAGAGAAAGCGCAGCAATGCTTTTAACCACAGGAGTCGACTGTTCTCTGAGCTTTTCTTAGTCCAAGTCAGTGCAAGTAAAATACACTTGCTATTTGATGCAGCATGAGATGTTCCAAGACCCTATGCTGCTTAAATGAAAACTAGATGTTTGCAAGATCCATGTCAAGAAAGATTTCTAAATCCCCGAGTAAGATACTGTTGGGTGGCCAGTCAACTTTAAAGTCCTGAAGTTTTTTTTTATCAGGAAGCCACCTAAAGAAATGTATTCTCCAAGCCGACCAAGGGTCTCTCAGCTCTTTCCCAGTGCGAGCCTGGCCGGGGGATTGCCTGGTTTCACGGGCTCTAAACTCTCTCCTCCTGGTCTGTCTTTCAGTATCTCGCACCCGAGGTGCTCCATAAGCAGCCATACGACAGGACTGTGGACTGGTGGTGCCTGGGGGCCGTCTTATATGAGATGCTCTATGGCCTGGTGAGTAGCACATTGAGATTCATGGAATATTGCTTCAATGGAGAATGCTCCCTAGAATGGGTAGTCTTCTTACAATCCAGACTCTTCTGGACACATAAGCCCCATGGCAGACCTGGTCATTGTGTTTTGCCCTTTATCAGTAAGCTTATCAAATGCTGGTCAGAGGCCTATTGGTTATTTTTATGAGTGTTTGAGGGTGAACTCTTACCTAGTAGATTTTCGTAAATTCACATTTTATTAGATATGACCACCCTTAACCTATGCGAGAGTGACAAACATGACTTTATCAGCGTCTGTCCCCTGGTACGAGTTGCCAAAGAGACACTTAAAAAAATGCAAGGCCAACAAATACCAATAAAAAGACATTGTCCAGTTCAAGTTCATATATATTGCAGCTTAAAAAAAATCATTTTCTCTATTTGATAGTATGTGCTGTACAAAGCTTCCAGGAAAATACTAAATGATTGTCTCCCTTCTCTCAGCCTCCTTTTTACAGCCGAAACACAGCTGAGATGTATGACAACATTCTGAACAAGCCCCTCCAGTTGAAGCCAAATATCACAAACTCTGCAAGACACCTGCTGGAGGGCCTCCTGCAGAAGGACCGGACAAAGCGGCTGGGCGCCAAGGACGACTTTGTGAGTGCTGCTTCCTGTCCTCTTGGTTGGCTGGGAAGTCCCCTTCTCAAATTCTGCCTGTTTCAATTAATCTGGTGTTTCTTCTCAACAGATGGAGATTAAGAACCATGTCTTCTTCTCTGTAATTAACTGGGATGATCTCATTAATAAGAAGGTCACTCCTCCTTTTAACCCAAATGTGGTGAGTATCTTTCTTCTAAATATAAAGTGGGGGGGGGGGAAGGGGGCAAAGGTCATTTATTAAAAGACAGACTTGGTGGTGGTGGTGGTGGTGGTGGTGGTGGTAGAGAGAGGGGGCCCTCAAGGAATAAATTGGCAGATATTGTATTCATGGGCCATTATTTTACCTACACAAGTAGACTGTTTGTCCCAGCAAAGCTCATGGGATTTTTTTCAACACACATATCAATTAAAGTACCCCCAAAAAGGGTAACATTATCCTCATCACTTAAACTCTGCATGGCCTCTGAGGGTTGTACTTGAAATGGGTGATGACTGTGGGAGTTTCCATATTGTGCCCTAAAGACTTGAGCACCAGAATTTGAAGCCTAGATAAGGATTTCCCAGCCCTGTGTCCAGTGTGAATTCTTAACCCTGAAATGTGGCTTTCCCTTCCTGCTGCAGAGCGGACCCAGCGACCTGCGGCACTTCGACCCCGAGTTCACCGAAGAGCCCGTCCCCAACTCCATCGGCCGGTCCCCCGACAGCATCCTCCTCACCGCCAGCGTCAAGGAGGCCGCTGAGGCCTTCCTAGGCTTCTCCTATGCACCTCCTGTCGACTCCTTCCTCTGAACAGCCGGAGGGTGGGTTTTCAAGGAGTGGCTGTGGGTCTCGAAATGTTTTTCGTGAGCCTCTTGGCGGAGCTGCCCACTGACAGGACATCTTCAAAGAGAATTTGCACATCTCGAGCTTGCACACCTTGGCAATCTTATTGCACACTGTTTGCTGGAAGCTTTCCGAAGAGCACATCCTCCTCTCAGTGAGCTCATGAGGTTTTCATTCTTATTCTTCCTTCCAACGTGGTGCTATCTGAAACGCGCGTCAGCGTGCCGCCATAGCCGGGCAGCGGTCCTTGTCAGAAGGACGCTGCCCTAAGAAAGGTCTCCGGTGAGAGTCTGTCTGGGCTGTGATAACGAATCTTATGACACGTGCCTTTTCTGATGAGACTGTGTTCGCTCCAAAGCTTTTCCTAGTGCAGTGTTTCCGTTCTTTCTTCTTCCTTGTGGATTGCTGTGCACACAGTGGTCTGAGTGTGGTATGCCTGAGCACAGATGGGTTTAGTTCTAAGCATCAATGTGACACTTGCAGGACACTACAATGTGGGACATTGTTTGTTTCTTCCATATTTGGAAGATAAATTTATGCGTAGACTGTTCTTTTTTTTGTAAGATATAGTTAAAATTTATTGAAATGGTCTTGCAATGACTTGTATCCAGATGCTTAAGGAAAGCATTGCTGCTACAAATATTTCTATTTTTAGAAAGGGTTTTTAATGGACCAATGCCCCAGTTGTCGGTCAAGCCTGGTGTTTTCATTGTTTAAAATGTCACCTGAAAATGGGCATTATTTATGGGGTATTTTTTTTTTTTTTGCATTCCTGGTAATTGTATGTATTGTATAAAGTCTGTACATTGGGTTATAACACTAGTGTATTTAAACTTACAGGCTTATTTGTAATGTAAACCACCATTTTAATGTACTGTAATTAACATGATTATAATATGTACAATTCTTCCCCCCTTCCCATCACACAACTTTTGTGTGTGTGTGATAAACCAGTTTGGGTTTGCAATAAAACCTTAAAAAGTATTTACATAAATTGTGTCATGCGTGTTCTTTTAATACAGTATTTTGGTCTGGCGGGGGCAGGGAGGAGAAGGGTTAGAGGACAATAATGGGTTCATTTAAAATCTAAAACCAGGGAAATGCTTCGGTAATTGCTTTCAATAGCAGTAGCTACTGACCCAGGGGAGTAGAGAATGGTCTTAAATCCAATTTAGATTCCAGGTCTTAGCATTTTATGAAGTCAGTTATTCATAAATCCATCCAAACCGATCCCTTTCAAGTTACCAGCCTCACAAGGACAGCCATGATGTAATGTTCCCTATGTTTATTGCACGTCCTATGACGTTGACGGCTGTTTGCTCGGACATTTAGCTTGTCTGAAGTTAACAGGTAATGCTTTCAACAAATATTTGAGCGCCTACTCTGGGCCAAGCTCCGTTCTGAGTGTTGCGGATATAGCAGTGAGCAAAGCAAACCAATCCCTGCCTTGATAGAAAAGGCAGACTTTCTTAGTGGAGCAGCTTATTGAAAGGGGGGGTCAGTATCATAGTCTGCACCAGTAGGAGAATGCTACTGAAGAGGGTGAAGGTGTTTGTCATGAATGGAGATGTTCTCCCAAAAGCCAAGCTGGCAGGACTTACAGTTTAGAGAGTACCCAGAGCTGCACCGAGCCCAGTGCTGGCTCAGAGAACGATCCCCAAGGAGCAGCACATTCCTGGCATTGACCAGGAGCTTTGAGCCTGTGCACAGCCAGCTCTGCAGGGACCCAGCATGCTCTGGGGCTGGGGTGCAGAGGCCCCTCCTAGATCTCCTCCTGTCAGAATATTTATAGTGGAAGAGGGGAAAGTTGTATGATATTAAATCATCTTCTTCTGTCCAAATTGTTTGGGCTTTTGTACTTTTTTAGGCCTTTCACACAAATTCCTAGCAAACAGGGAGTCAGCTCCCCAACAGCTGATCTTGCTGCTGCTTTCGCCTCTAAGCCTATTGCACTCCCTCTACCCTGACCTCTCAGTCTGCAGAGGTATCTCTCCATGGAAAATTGTCATCGTTTTCCCTTTAAAAAATATATATATATATATATTTTACTGATTTTTTTTTACAGAGAGGAAGAGAGAGAGAGCGCACTAAAAACATCGATCAGCTGCCTCCTGCAGGCCCCCACTGGGGATGTACCTGTAACCAAGGTTCCTGCCCTTGACTGGAATTGAACCCAGGAACCCTCAGTCCACAGGCCGACACTCTATCCACTGAGCCAAACCGGCTTTGGCTGTTTTCCCTTTTATTGTGACTCTTCTATCTCAATCCTACCCCCCACCCCCACCTCCAAAGCTTCTCAGGACTGAGCAGGTGTTTGGAGATTACTTAGTCCTTGTCCCTCATAATCCATTGAAGAAATGGGATTAAAGTGACTCAGCGACTTCTTGCAGAAAATGGCTTCCAGTCAAAGGTCTGCACTTTAATTGTTGCTCTACATATGCCAAAATCAACTACAGCGACAGAGAATCTAAAGCCTGCATTCTCCTCGTCAAGACTGATGCTAACTCTGACAGGGAGATTATTTGCATGTCTCCCCCTCATTCTCATTATAAATAACAGTTATGAATTCCTCCTTGCACAACAACTACTTAAATCATATTTTAATTTGAACACAGTTCTTGCTGGCTGGGAATCCATAATCTGATTATAAATAACTCAAAGGGGCCAGTCATGCATTAAGAAGCTTATTGATCTTTATAAGGGTAGGAATTTGGTTTATTGGGTTACAGTCAATCACTATATACGATCTGAGTCTCATTGTTCGAGACCAGAAAGGAGTCAGAGGAATCCCAAGTGTCACACAAGTGGGAGGAGACAAGATCAAACAAGTGGGTGATACGGGAACCAGGCAAGAACAGGGAAGTCAAAAAAAGGACAAGAGATCAATAAAAAGAGGGCAAATATTTACCATGCACTGATGTCAAATGATTCAGGTAACGTCAAAAAGCATTTGCACAGAAGTTTCTTTTACCTCGAGGAGTGGTGTACATTCTTGCCAGCATTCTAAACTACATTTGAGCACGATGGTTGCAAAAGGGGGCAAATTCTCTCCAAAACTCTCCAGCTTTGGGTCTGTTCAAATGTGGCTATGGGGGAAATCACTAAGCTCAGATTCCCACAAGTTAAAATGGGATTCGAAACCACTGCTTCCATGAAAAATAAGTCAAGCACTGTGCTTAGAGAAGTTGCCATCTACCTGGGGAGACATAGCATCGACCCATGGAATATGACAGGTGGTGAGTGAGGGCTTTAGAGGACTTCAGAAGTCCAGAGGTTCCCTGTGGGGTTGGTCCATTGGAGCTGGCTTCACTGAAGAATGCCAATTCTACTTCTAGAGAGTTTAATGGGATTCAGGCCCTGAGAATGAAACATAAGCAAGAACCTATGCTATTGAACTCTTACAGTACCAGACATTGTCTCAAGTATTTTGTACTCTTTAATCTTCACAACAACCCTGACATGTCAATTGTGAAGGAACCAGCACAGAAAGGTGATTGGCTGGTTAGTAGTGGTGCGATTAGAAGTCAAATCCTGACAATCTGGCCCCAAAGCCTAGGCTGGTAACTATTATGCTATTCTGCCTCACAGGTGACAACAAAATATAGAAACAAAAAATTGTGTGCTTGTTAGTCATTAGCATAAGGATGTTAACTTAAGATGGTGTTAATCAGAGCAACATTTCCATTAAGAAAAACACACTTCTCTAAACTATTTAAGCCCAATTTAAGAAGTTACTTACATGTTTTCTCATATGGCATGGAAATTGTTAACCAATCATCAAAGCCAACCATTAATTACTATTGCTTAGACTTTACTAGGGGCTTATGCGTGATCTCTCCTGGTCTTCTTTGGACACTACATGCTTGCTATGTAAGCATATGCTTAATTTATGTTTTCTCTGCTTTCCACATTTTTCTGGGAGGGCTTTGGCAACAAGACTAGGAGCAATCCTTGACGTTTACTTGTGTTTACATATAACATTGTGTTCAGAGATACCTTTGTGTATTTGGAGATCTTGGAAACCATGGATTCTGATGGGCAGGGTTCTTGATTTCCTCTTTTCTGTGTTGCCTGTTCTATGCTCCACCTAGGGTATCATGGCAGGCATGATGATGATGCTGAAACAATAATATGTGAGGTACAGACTGTTCGCAAGAACATGTACATGCAGACAATCACTTCTTGAACAGTAGACCATAAAAGACAGAGTGTCATTTTATGTATACACATAAAATAGATAAGTCGCTGACAATTCTGTGTTGCCTGTTCTGTGCTCCACCTAGGGTATCGTGGCAGGCATGATGATCCACTGAAACAATAATATATAAGGTACAGACTGTTCACAAGAACATGTACATGCAGACAATCACTTCTTGTGAACAGTAGATCATAAAGCCATAATATCACTTTATGTATACACATAAAACAGATAAGTGGCTGACAATTTGTTCAGATATCCACATGACTTAAACACAATTCTGCTCAATCTTAATTTGTTGCCACGTTAGATAAACTCTCTTTTTTAAATTATAGTTGAAATACAATATTATATTAGCTTTAGGTGTACAACATAGTAATTTGACATTTATATTTCTTACAATGTGGTCACCACAATAAGTGTAGCAACCATCTGTCACCATATAGTTATTAGATAATATGGACAATTTTTCCTAGGCTGTGCTTTACATCCCCATGACATACTGGGTTTTTTAAAACAACTATAAAGGTTGGTACCACCTATTTCCTTTCACCTTTTTAAACCCATCCTCCCACCTGCCTCTCCCCTCTAGCCGCCCTCAGTTTGTTCTCTGTATTGTGAATCTGTTTCTGTTTTGTTTTATTTCACTATTTCGTTTTGTTTTATAGATTCCACATATAAATGAAATCATATAGTATTTGTCTTTCTCTATCTGACTTATTTTACTTAGCATAATACTATCTAGGTCCATCCATGTTGTCACAAATGG